AACCAAACAATCGGATCATACTAGATTAGGATATTATGATTTCGCGGTTAAGTTTTAGGGTTTTAGCATCCACGATTTATAGTACTAGGGTTTTTTCTAGGGTTTCGGTTTTATGTATGGAACTTTCTATTTATGGAAATTTTATATTTATGGAAACTTTCTATTTCTGGAAACTTTCCTTATATGGGAAACTTGATCTTAAACCGTGACTTAGGGTTTATTAAACCGGTTTAACCTAGGATTTAGGGTTTTGGTTTACTTTCGGTTTAACCTAGGATTTATATTAAAACATTCAATCTATCATGCTATTAAACATCTTTCCATTCACTAACTTCTCAATTAATTCTCCAATCATAAATCAAATCACATGTGCCAATTTTCATACAAATTTTATCTTATCAAACTTTAATTGGATTATGTATATAAAGCATAATAAATAGCACTTATCTTAATTGGATAAGAAAGAGAGACCCGAGATCTAATACGGAGATTGGAAACAGTTATGTCTCTTAGCTGGTTGGGACCTCCTACAAAATCTCAATATATATAATCCTGATTCCTGAGAAACTCAAAATTTTGCTCATGGAAACATGGCTATTACATTAGTAAAAAAAAAAAAAATAGGGTTTCTGTAATATAATGCATAAACAGTTCAGAATCAATAACATATAATCCGTGCATAAATCGTACAAAAATATAGACAGGATTGATAATAAATAATCCATGCAAAATTTGTGCAAATCTACAGACATAATTGACAACAGATAATCTGTGCAAAATTCGTGCAGAAATACAGATAAAATTGATAACATATAATCCGTGCAAAATTCGTGCAAAACTACAGACAGAATTAACAACAGATAATCTGTGCAAAATTCGTGCAGAAATACAGACAAAATTGATAACATATAATACGTGCAAAATTCGTGCAAAACTACAGACAGAATAGATAACAGATCATCTGTGCAAAGTTCGTGCAGAAATACAGACAGGATTGATAACAGATAATCCGTGCAAAATTTGTGCAGAAACAAATATGAACAGAAAACTTATCTCGATAGAGTTTAGAATTTTGTTTGCAGAGACGGCTAGGGTTTTGGTTTTGGTTTTTGTGAGAGAGATTTAGGGTTTCGGAATTTTTAATTTTTAGGGTGAAAGGCTATCGTGCTGATAACGTGTTGTGAACTGTGTCTTTCATTAATAGGATAGGGGATATATATACAAGGATAATAGCAGGATACAGAGAATAAGGTAAAACCTTAATAGGCCATGGACCGGTTATGGAGTCCATCTATATGGTTTATAACAATATTCAATATAATGTAGAATATTTATATCAAAAGAAATTCGAATTATGATTTGAGTTTGATAAAACAAACAACAATACATGAAAGTTTCAAAAGCTCTTTCCGGGTGAGACTATGTTGGCAAGATATTCACGTGTCGAATTTTTGATTGGTTTTTCCAAGTTATCGAAAAATCACAGAAAGATTTATAGACAACTCCCAAACTGACTGACATATTTTAAACAAAACAACAAAAATAACCTTGAAAAAAACTTGTGGAATTGATGCCTTCATGCACACCCATAACATTTTTTTATAGAATATAAAACTGTTTTCGAAACAAAACATCTACTCTAATAACTTTGGACACTTTTTTTATATTTTATTTTTTGCAAGTGCTGCTGAACTTAAATTCAAAGTCTCTTGGGAAAGAAAGTTTTCTTATTAATATTATATATGAAAAATTCACCATGGTACGCGGTCGGATATATTACCCAAAAACATATAATCGTTTCACTACTGAAAACAAAATACACCCAACTATATAAATATAAATTTTAACTGAGATCCTTAATTTCTTGGATAAAATGTTACAAAATGTACTTTTCCAATATTTATGTATATTTTTGGAAAGTAACACTATTCAGTGTTCAGTTTTTCATGATAAATAAAAACTATTTGACGTTACTAAGTCACATAGATGTTTGGGTCAACCTAACACTATTCAGTGTTCAGTTTTTCATGATAAATAAAAACTGAACTAGAAGTTAAGAGATCCACGCACAAATGCCTTATTATCATGAGGAGAGGAACCGAATCAAAACCCAATGTATAGCTTTTCTCTCTGCTGAAAGAATTGATAGAGCTCTGGATAGTATTAAACGTTCCAAACCAACCCCGAGAAGACGATTACCTCAAACTGGAAGAGATACCGCATATAATGGCAAGAAAGCGACCCACATACTCCAAAAAGAAGCAGATCTTAATGAGACAGAAGAACCAACCAAGGAAATTGAGCCAAGAGCCATGGCAAATAGCATCGAGTCCGTCTCGTCACAAGGAGAGATTTTCCAGGACATTCGATGCAAAACACAACACCACGACAAGCAAGCAAATGGCTAGAACAGAAACTTCACTCAAACAAGACCCAACCACAAAACAGACAAAGATTCCACAAAAAGAAGATTCCTAAAATTCCAAATCAATCCGGAGAAGAACCCGCAATCCAGAGCAACAAACCCGAGAAGGTGAAAGAACCAGATCTGAAAATTGACGCCGAAGGTTGGGAGACAAAAGCGCAAGATGATCAAACCAACCGTAGAAACGATCGAGAGCCACCAACAACAAAGAAACACGGCCCAACCAGACCCGATAGAACAACTCAAATCCACCTCGCACCACGAACTGACCGGAAACGCCACCAAGCCTTGCAAGAGAAGCACAACAGCAGCCAAACCAAACCAGAAACGACTCCACAGTCCACCTGGGAGAGAGCCGCCGCAAAACTCGAACAAAAAAGCCGCTCCAAGGACAGAAACTTCACCCTCCTCCTCACGAACAAGTAAAACCCATCGCAAAAAGAAAACTCACGGGAACAAGTCATAGGCAAGATGAAGAAGAAAAACCAACAAATTACACTAAAGAGGCACAACGCCGGTGCTAAAGGAGCCACCGGACGTTGGCCGTACACAAGCGGCGGCTAGTTTGTTTTCAGAAAAGAGAGGAGAGACAAGAGAGCAAATTAGGTTTTGTGGAGACAATGATTCATCCATTGGTCGGCGTATTTCTCCAAAACATGATAATATTGATTTGACATTATCTTTTCTTCTTTATCAAAAAAAAAAAAAAAAAAAAATCCTTAGTTCAGGTTTAAAAATCTACTATATTTTCTTACATTTATTTTGTTTTCTGGTGAAAATTTGATAGATTGTAAGAAAAAGACATTGAAGAGACTTTTACTCTAACCATAGACGATAGCAAGTGAGATTGCGTTATCCATTGATGGATCCATCATGACAGGTGAACTCTTCATTGCATTTATACGATTTAAGCTCTATATAGTATTCATTATTTGAAAACATGTTGCGATATCATTTGATTGCATTTGCATTTTTTTATAATACGTATCAAAATGTGTTTTTTAAAAAATTCGAATCTAATAACACTTTTTTTTTTTTAATCTAATAACACTTAGATTACATCTCTAACTAATAGAGCCAATAACACAAAGAGTTTTCTCTAACCACTAGGGTTAATTACGTTTTGGATGAATGTTAATCATTTCCAATAATGACAAAAAAAAACATGATCTATTGATCTTGTTGATTTTCCAAATATTGCATGTTAAAATATGTATCTAAAAAAATATTTTATAAATTTAGAAGCGAGATTCCAAAAGCAGAGAACATACTAACTCAGTAATTTATTATAATGCTTTAAAAAGTATAAGACGATGTATTATATATTATCATCATGAAGTGTTATACTTCATGTTGTTGTCACATGGGAGTTTTTATAACTAGTGTTACATTTGATTGATTCTTTTGTATGAGACAACAAAAGTAAGGAAAATGAAATCTGAAAATAAAATATATCACTCGTTCTCTTCTGATCAGTCTCGACGTGGGCTTTGGACCTTTGGACCAATTATAACTCCAATACTTTTGTTAGAGTATATCTGATTGAATTTTCTTCTAACAACATTTCTTCATTTATAGTGTTTAAATTTGGATAGTGACGAAACAACAATATAAATACAAAACATCAAGCTACATGTTATGGACTTATGGTCTATAGACATTATTTAGAATTGAATTGTTTTTTTAAGTTAAAAGTTCAGGACCTAGGCTCGTATTTTTTTAAAGTCGTATTAACCTTTTATAAAATATTCATTTCATAGGGCATCGAACTCGTGTTTCTTTGAATGTTTACGTTTTCCAGTTTATATGGGGTTAAACCACTAGTTCAACCTCACGTTGGTAGTTTACCTACACAAACATGTTTTCCCAAAAAATCACACTATTGATAATTATAAAAAAAAAAATTTTAAAATTTATTTTTCGCGTATACTGAATTGAACTAAAATAGACTTTTGACAGCCTATATTTTGTTTTAATAATTAATGTAAATTACAATATTGACTAATAATAGGTATTTTTATTAATAACATACATTTCTTCTTAATAATAAATTTTTGTAGACTGTAATATTGACTAATAATCAGTATTTGTTATTGGTAACGTACTTTTCTTTTTGATAATAACTTTTGTAAACTAATACAGACTAATATTTGGTATTCGTTATTAGTAACGCACCTTTCCTTTTAATAATAACTTTTGTTAACTAATACAGACTAATATTCGGTCTTCGTTATTAATATTGTCGTTTACAGTAATATATAAAATAGAAAAAAATATGAAATCTCTAATTTTGTATTTTTCTGTTTGAATAAAGTTATTCTATAAATTAAGTCTAAAATTTTAAATTTATTATTATGAATTAAAACATAATCTCTAAATTAAGCTCTAAAATAATTATTTAGAAAAAAATCATATAAACATTTACCAATCACATACTAAGTAGCATTTTTTCTCAATATTATTTTCACTAGAAAATGGTGAATACTAATCAATTTCTATAATTAATATATAGTTTTTTGGAAAAATAATTTCCCATTTGGTGATATTGACAAGTGTAAAAATCAGCTACAATTATCTTTCCTTCAAGGTTAAAATTTGTATATAAAGGGGTCTATAGTTATATGTATATGGTGGGCACCTGCAGAGATTTTGATCTTGAAGAACATTCTCTTCAGTTTCTTTCGTCCTCTTTAAAAAACCTAATCTCTAAACTCCACCATTGATGAGCTCTGACCCTAATCTCACCACTTTCCTCTCACTTTCTCGGCAAAAGTTCAGTGATTTGCTCTGTTTCCTGGAGAATTTGCTCTGTTTTTTAAACCAAGATTCAAGATTTGGTTTTGACGGAGCATAAATGGAGAGAACAAGATCAAAACCGATTCGGGATTTACCCGAGACAATCCATTCGTTGCTCGGTTTGAAATCTCATATGACTTCTGATTGGGTTAAATCTGTGTGCAACATCGTCAAGAACAATTCTTCAACGTCAAAGGAAGAAGAAGATGACTCTGTTTCTACCGATTTACAGAGCATTAGAGGTACAACAACACTTCCTTTGGATTCCTCTTTTTATCTTAAAGATTTTTCATTTCTTTGGATTTTTGTTCATAAATTTTTCTTTTTTTCTTCTGTATAAAAATTCTTGTCTTCTTGTGTAAAATTAAAATCCTTTGGTGGAGATTACCTACTACATGCAAATCATACCGACCGTTGGATTATCTGTTCTTTAACCGTATGAGTGACGTGTCAGTCATCCAACGGCTGTTTTGGTTATTCGTTTTTACAAAAAAAAATTTCATTTTTACAATATGTGTGGGATCAATTTTCTGTAGTCTGCTCTTTGAATTTTTTTTTTGCTACTGTATGTTGTCTTTTATGCAAAAGTCTGTTTCTGTAAAAAAAAAAACACTTTATTCAGATAATTTTAACTTAAAGTTTTGGTTTTACACTTAATTTAGTTGCAATACAGAAAACATTTAATCCAAAAAGGTATATGTAGTCAAGATTTCAGTCGGATTCATATAGAAATTAAATATGATAATCTATGTTTATTCAGATAATGTTGACTAAAAAGTTTCACAAATTTTCTATTGATATTTTATTAATTATGCTCTGTTGTATTAATTATGCTCTGTTGCTTATTGGTCTTGCTCTGATTCTCCTGTTATTGGTTTGCAGATAAACTCTCTGCACTAACAGTTCAAGTCAATGATCAGAACAAACAGAGAAGACAGATTCTTAATGAGTTCTTGGACCTTAAAGGTTAGTAATATATATTTTAGAAAGAAAAAAAAAACACACTACGATTTCTACTGTAAATTTCAATTCAAGAGTCTAATTTAATTGATTGGAAATTTGTCAGGGAACATGCGTGTGTTTTGTCGAGTCAAACCCTTAGGAGCCTCCGAAAAGTTGAGGCCACCGGTTGCTTCGGATACAAGAAATGTGATCATCAAGTTATCAGAAACCAAGAGAAAAACCTACAACTTCGACAGAGTTTTCCAACCTGATTCATCCCAAGGTATGACTCAGTTTCTCATATTGGTCACGCATACATGAACGTTTTCTTGATTAGTATTCAAAATTTGCAGATGATGTTATCTTAGAGATTGAACCAGTAATCAAATCGGTTATCGATGGCTACAACGCTTGTATTTTCGCGTATGGACAAACCGGTACTGGGAAAACTTATACAATGGTAAGAAGAATCAATCAAAACAAGCTCTTTGGTTTCATTGTTATACTTATTTCTTAAGTTGTTATATCAATATCGATGAATATTTTTTGCAGGAGGGTCTTCCGAACTCTCCAGGTATCGTTCCTCGAGCGATCAAGGGATTGTTCAAACAAGTCGAGGAAAGCAATCATAAGTTTTTAATCCACTTCAGTATGCTTGAGATTTACATGGGAAATCTTAAAGACTTGCTTCTTTCTCAAGCAACTAAACCCATTTCTCCAATACCTCCAAGGTAATAACATAATAATACTCATAACATGTGCAGAGATCTTCATTGAAACGGTTGTAAGTATATAACTCAATGAGTTTTTGCTTCTCTGTTTCAGTCTTTCGATTCACGCTGACGCAAGTGGAGAGATAGAGATCGATAACTTAGTGAATCTTAAAGTGGATGACTTTAATCAAGTCTTCAAGTTATACAAAGAAGGATGTCGAAACAGAGCAACTGCCTCCACTAACTCTAACTCTGCTTCCAGCAGATCACACTGGTAAAAGAATTCAAATATTTTGATCTCTTTTTCTATTACATAATGTTCTTTGATCTCTCATGTATGCATGAAAATCATGAAACAGTATGATCCGTGTATCGGTCACTTGTCTTGGAGCTTCTGAGAGACGGCGTGAAACAAACAAGATTTGGCTAGTGGATCTTGGCGGAAGCGAGCGAGTGTTGAAAACCAGAGCCACTGGTCGTCGTTTTGATGAAGGCAAAGCCATTAATCTCTCTTTATCTGCTCTTGGGGATGTCATCAACTCTCTTCAACGCAAGAACTCTCACATTCCTTACAGGTAAACATATCAATCTTTTTGTAACTCTTGATGAGATCTCAATCTCTGACTCTTTCAAGTTCTTTTTATGTGCTTCAGGAACAGCAAGCTCACACAGGTTCTGAAAGACTCTCTCGGTAAGTAAAGATCTTCCGGAAAATCTTGGTGTTAACTGAAAAATGTTTCTCTTTATTAAAGTTTGGTACTTGATTTTTCAGGACAAGATTCAAAAACGTTGATGCTTGTTCATATCAGCCCTAAAGAAGAAGATCTATGTGAAACCATATGTTCTTTAAACTTTGCAACGAGGGCAAAGAACATTCATTTAGGGCAGGACGAATCAACGGTAATGGAATTAATAACTTGCTTAGGGCTCATCAACTTTCTTTAAAGTGTTACACTTTCTGTTTGGTTAAAGATTCTTTTGACGTGTAGGAAGAACAACAAAAAAAGGAGGCTGTGATGATGAATCTGCAGAAGATGATGGAAAAGATCGAACAAGAGCGCGAGATGTCGTTAAGAGAGATGAGAAATCTAAACAAGACGTTGGAGAAATTCACTGGTAAGCCTCATGTTATTGAAGAAGAAGAAAAGGATGTGATTAGAGAAGAGATTCAAGTGACTCCAAAAAAACCAAAAAACAAATCAAGACGTGCTTCAGATGTTTTTCCTAGCTTCATGAGACCAACAGCTAGCAGCAGAAGATTATCAGGAGCAGATTTTAGCGTAACCCCTAATGCTTCGGGCTATAAGTCTAGAAGGAACTCGATGATATCTGTCCGAGCTGAATCTGTGCGCCTTCCGGTGAAGAAGAACAGATATGATTCTGCCTGTGACTCATCAGACAGGAGCGTTTCAAAATCGACTTGCGTTATGCGTCAAAATACATCAGATGATGCAACGGTGTATAGTCAGGACATATCTGAATGTGACATTAAGTTGGTAGTGTCTGAGCACAAGCCAAAAGCACTGCAGATGGGGCCTGGATCTGCGACAAAATCCCGCTCCAAGATCTGTAACTTCGAGAAAGATGCGGCGCAGAAGATGGACGGAACAGAGTTTTCTAGGATTAACAGTTGGCTTCGTTCGCAATCTGAAAACAGAAGTTACGTGCTTGACAAGGATCAACTTCCTGCGACTCCCCAAAACAGGTCGTTGGAGAAGTCATCAACACAGAGTCTTACAACGGAGAAGATCACTGGAAATGAGTTCTTGGAAAAATTGGAAGATATAGAAGAGTCTAAAACAGATGAAACAGTGGTTAAACCTACACAAATGCTTAAAAAGCTGTTTGAGCTGCAATGTCTCTGTTCTGCTGAAGAAGAGGATCAGATTTTGTCCAGATTCCCAAATCCTGGTTATGAGGATGTTGATGAGTCTCTTTATCCTCCCGTTTTAGAAAACGATGGATTTAGCCAACACATAGACAATGAATGGTTTGGAGTCAATCACAGTGCGGCTTGGGAGCGAGATTCACCAGCCACGATCCCGTTGTTAGAACGTGAACCGGATCTCAAACAGCTGTTACCGGAATTGGCTTTCGATCATTCACTTAAACCAAGAGGTTTGGCGTTCGCGGAGGATGTAGCTCCACCATTGCTTAGAGCACAAGAAACCTTGGGAGAAAGAGGTAAACATTTTGGACCCACGTTTGCAATTCTGACCTAGAATGTTTTTAACAACTGCAAACGCTTTTCTAAGATTCTGTTTTTGTTTTTTTGGTTGCAGGAAAAGCTCCAACGTTCATGCAGAAAGTTCAGGCTTTATGCTTCCGCATTCTTCTGGGATTAGGGTTTATTGATGTGGGCTATGGTAATGACTTTTTCAGTGGATTAACCAAGTAAAGACAAGAACTGATTCAATTCGTCTTTGAGATCCCCAAAAGATGCATGCAAGTTTAGCTTTTTTCAGTAGAGATTAAAGTATGGAATTTTTTGAATAAAAGTTAGTTTTGTACTTTAATGATTCCGTTAGAATCCATTTATAGTTTTGTTTAAAACCTGGCAATGGCATGTCTAATTTTTTTGTTAAAGGCGAAAAGGTTTACATGTCATTTTTGAGAAATATGGTTTAGCTAAGACCCAAAACTAAGAAAAGTGGCTTAGCTAAGACCAGTGTTCAAGAAAGCGCTAGGCGCTAAGCGGGCGGTGACTCAGTGCCTAGCGCCTAGAACGACTAATCGGGGCCTAGGCGATTTTTTAGGCGGTTTAGACGTTTATAACATAATACATTATAAATATGATATTATATATAAAAGTTATATAAAATATTAATATAAAACTAAAAATTATGAAATTATAAACAAAAACTAGATAAAATATTTATTTATATTTATATTAAACAATATATGAATATTTATAACTATATATATATATATATATATATAAATAAAACTCTAATTGAAATTGAAAAAATACATTAAACAAGATATGTAATTTTAGGCGGTCAAGGCGGTTATCTAGGCGTCGAATGAGAGCCTAGCGCCTAGTCGGGGCCTAGGCGACCGCCTAGACCGCTTTTTAGAACAGAGGCTAAGACCCAAAACTAACCTTAAGAACCAACCACATGTCATATTATTACTTTAATACTTCTAAGAACCATTTTTAAGATATTATTGTTAATCATGTTCTTATAGGCCCAAGAAGAGTAATTTAGTTTACCGAAGTTGTTCCCACATAAAAGATAGGGCAACAAAAGTACAAAACCGTACCTCTCGAAGACTAAAAGGCAAAGAGAGAAAATGGAGCAGTAAAAACCATCAATTCGGTGAGAGGAGATAAGGAGAGAGCGAAGTTTTGCTAGCTATATTATTCACTACCTTCTTCTTCTTTATAAACCCTAATTTCCTTAATTCCTCAATTTGCGGTTATTCCTTGTGGATTACTCTTTTATTCTTGTTTTCAGGTTTTCCGCTCTGATAATTGAGAGAAGAGAGCGCCTTCTTGAAGGTATCAGCTTTTTTTGTTCCTCTTGCACATCGTATTAGGGTTTGGATTCTTGTGTGAATTTAACGTTAAGGAGTTCTCAATTTACAAGGTTGTGAGAGATGTATCATTTTCAAAATCATTTAGTTTTTAGAATTTCAATTTCAGATGCCAGAAGCATCAAGGGTATAAATCTGGTAGTCGACTAGTCGTGTCTATTTGTTATTGTGGCTGATCCATGGAATAATCTCTCTGTTTATCCAATATCTGATGTAACTTAGAATTTCATCTTAATTCCTACTTAACTCTTGAATGTTTCGTTGGCATATCTTGATTTAACCTTTCTGAATACATGAATGGCCGGTTCTGAGAGGTTCTCTGCATCCTTCCATTGTCATGTCTTGAGCACTTTCATGAGATCATTGGTCAAGAAGTGCTCTGTGCTCATTTGCTTTTGTTCTGGTTTGTTTTACTTTAAGCCTCAATATCTTATTACCCTTATACCTCAATTATATGCATCTACTTGGGAATATCTGTTGACAGCTCTATGCAGTTTGATTGTTATAAATGTTTGCTTGTGACTTTGTGTTAATTCCTTTACCAACAAATCCAAGTTGTAATGAAAGCAAAACTTGGTATATGATTATGGTTTAATGATAGTATATGAAAGAAGTGGAACTGTAGTTTACAAATTACACTTAGTTAGGAAAGGGTTAATAAGTTAATTTTAATAATGCACCCCACTTTGTAGAGTAGTTAATTGAATATTGATTTAGGAGTAGTGTGCAGGTAATGGCAAGCCCTTGACGATGCCACAGAGGTTAGTGTTGAGGGGGATGTTGTACTCGTCCCTTAGCGATTTCTCGGGTGATAGAACACTGACATACAATTGCTCGCCTAGGTATCTCCTCTCCAAGTTCTCAGACCTGATGTTCCACATACCGGCGTTGTCGAATGTCAAGAGGATAGCTGACCAAGACTTGGGGTATACTTGCACGGTGTGTCTGCTAACCGCATCGAGCAAGTTGTAGTTCTTTCTCTTTTCAGGTGTCCACCTTCCTGGCTCAGACCTGGAAAAGTTCGTGGGACAACACAAAAGTTAGAAGATAGAATGATAAAATGAAAGAAAGAAAGAGACGGGACCAAGGAGCTTACGCGACAGCGAAGAAGGAGTAACCATCCAAATGGAATGACTGCATGCTCTTCTCGTGGTTCTCGAAAATGATCTCTACAAAGGTACGGAAAGTGATGTTGAGAACATTAGGCTGTACAGTCAATGCTGTGATTTTGGCTGCAGGCTCGTCCTTGATCACATTGTACTTGAACACCTTCTCTGACATCTGGAAGTACTCAGCTAGCTTCAAAGGAGTCTCGGTGTCAACATGTGATACACCGTTGAAACCAAACCGGACTTTGCCGTCAACCACGCTCTTAGAGTTGACAAGCTTGATGCTACGGGTGATGTTGATTTTTCCGTAATGGTATGAGCCCTGTGGGTTAGGCCTGGCAGCACTAGCGGTAAGGTTCCACCTGAAAGACCTAAACTGGTTCAAAGACCAAGCCCATCCAATGGGAGCCTTGGGGAGCTCAGCTGAAGCCTGAACGTTGCTTCCCTCATACCGGATCACACCCACGGTGCTCAACTCCTTCTTGAGGAACCTAGTCGATGCAACCATGTAGTAATCCTTAGCTGCCTGGTCAGCAGTCACAAGAACTGAAAAGCACTGGCCGACATGGACATCGAGAGAGTCGTAGTCGTTCTGAAGAACATGGGATCCTTCCATCTCCACAAGCTTCATCTTGTGGTTCTGGATCCTGAAGTTAAGTGTAGACTTGAACCCAACATTGCAGAGCCTGTACTTGTAAGTCTTTCCAGGCTTCATTGTGAACAAAGGCTCGTTCTTTCCTCCCACCTTTCCAGACTTTCCATTGATCAAAACACCGTTAGGCAATCCAAGGGTGCGTCCACTGTCAAGGAAGTTCTTGAGAGCAGTGTGGCCAGCTGTGTACCAGTCACCGAGAAGAACAGTGTAGTCATCCTCAGGATCAGCATAAGGAACAGGAATAAGGAGTCGGCTGTTGACACGGAGACCACCAAAACCACCAGCAAAGCGGTGGAGAGAAGTGGTCGGGTAATAGAAGTAAGAACCAATCTGGTCCTTAGGTTGGAAATGATAAGTAAAGTTCTGTCCTGCTGGGATGGGGCATGAAGTCCCAGCCACACCATCTTGCCAGCAGTTCTTCCTGTGCTGAATCCCGCTCCTGCATCCACAATCCATCATTAATACTCAATATCAAATAGGAATGTTAAAATGGGTCAAAGAAAAGGCCAGTTGCCTGGTCCGACCCTAGAAAGTCGGTCTGCGGAAACCGTTTTGTCTCAAATCCCGTCAAAGATGGACCGGTTGGGAATAATCCTCCAAAAGGTTAACCGCGGACCGACCTTGGCTTGAGCACAAATAATTGACTGGCTCAATCTTAAGAGTGAGGATCCAAACGGGCTGGACTCAAAACAGAGCGGACTGAAAAAACCTGACCTACCCCCGTGACAACAACCCTTTTATCAGAATATAAATAAAGAATGTGGATTAGTACCAGGTCAAGAGGAAAGGTTCGTCTAGGTGGTTGAAGACATTGATGACGACGTTGTTGTTAGAGGTTGAGTTAAGGTTAGGACCAGGGAATTGACCGTTGATGAGAATCACCTTTTGAGGAACACCGAGAGGTGAGGCGGTTCCGTAAGTCACGTTCCATGTATAGAAGAAGTAAGGATCACCGGCGTTCACGATAGCCACCGTAGAGACGAGGCAGACCAACACCGTCAATAACCTCCCCTCCATTTTTATTTTCTCTTTTTCTAGAGGAAAAAGAGAATTATTTTGGTTTCTGTGTTACGTATAATTAACCCTTTCCTACAAAAAAGATTAAAGCAAAACTAGTTTTTGCTCTTAATGAATCCTTTGGTAACTTTGTGATTTGAAGTATTTATTTAGGGGAAAACATAACTTCTTCTGTAAGGTAACGTCACCAATTTTTACGCTTCATCTCTAATTCATTTTCTATATAAAAAAAATGGTGATGCAACAAATAGATTTCTAGCTCTCTGTTTCTCTTTATGGTTTTAAGATTCGAGAACTTTGATTGAATACAACTCAGATCGTATTCTAATATTGGAAATGTCCCTAACGATGTCAATAAGTGGTTTCTACGTCAAAAGAATGTTTTCCCGAAAAAATGTCATGACTATGACCAAAATAAAATGTATTACTTCAAAACTCGATAAATGAATTTCTCACGTCAGGAGAATTATCTTCGACATGATATAAATAGTTGTGATATTTAGATTTTGCGATGGATTATTTTAGTTCTGAGATAATTTTTCGTCTCGATAGCTTGGTTTCTTTGTAGTAATTTTTAGTCTAATTTCCATACTTTCTCATGTCAAATTTAGTCACTCGATGGTATAAGTACTATTTTCGAGAACATAATTGAAAATTGCATTGTCTTCAAACGTTTAAACTTTATTGTACACACAATGGTGATGAATAACATATCTCTTGAAACGTCTTTTATCTGTTACTCTTTATGTTTAACAAAGAGTGTCGTTCTAAAATTTTATTTTTGTTTCACAAAAAATGTCATTTTGTATTTTGAATAAAAGTTCATTTATAATCATATTTCTTTAATATATTAATCGGAAATATAATTTTCATTAGTGTATTAATAAGAAGTATAGTAGAACTATAATAGTTTTATTAATATGTGTGAAAAATATAGAATAACACTTTTTGTTAAACAAATAAAGTATTTCTCATTATTATTCAACATATCTCATGCTTTCATGTTTGTAAAGTTGTTGTTAGAATGGACGAGTCAAAAATATTAATAGAAAAAGCCGAAACGTCATTAATCTTCGAAAACCATCTTTTTAATGTGTTTACGACTTAATTTCTTTTTAATTCGATCATTTGACGATAGTGCTACTATTAGTCATTTGATGTACTAGTCAAATTTGATATGACATCAAATCATAACCAAATTGATTTCTATAGGAAAAAATAAAGTTTAGTCATATGAGTTTGTATAAGTCATGTATAATATATGACTAGACTCACAAATATTCTCCAAA